TGTATATTTATGTACAACGTTTCTCGATGGTGGGGCGGCACGGTGGCGCGGTGGTTAGCACTGTCGCCTCACAGCAAGAAGGTCCTGGGTTCGATTCCGCCCAGTGGCCTTTCTGTGTGGAGTCTGCATGTTCTCCCCGTGTCTGCGTGGGTTCTCTCCGGGTTCTCCGGCTTCCTCCCACAGTCCAAAGACATGCTCTGGGGATCAGGTTAATTGGGGACTTTAAATTGCCCGTAGATGTGTGAATGTGAGTGTGAATGGTTGTGTGTCTCTGTGTTGCCCTGCGATTGGCTGGCGACCAATCCAGGATGTACCCTGTCTATCGCCCGAAGTTGGCTGGGATGGACTCCAGCCCCCCCGCAACCCTGTGTGCAGGATAAGCGGCTTGACAATGGATGGATGGATGGTTTCTCGATGGTTGCCCTTATTAAAGAGTCACTCTGGATTTAATTATATTCGTTATTTTAGAGCTTGATTCTGTTCAGTCAGTTGTTTTGGATTTGTGCAAAACCACAAACGTTTTCCAAGTAAAAAGCACAAACAATTTTGAGCACACGAAAGTCCACCGACTAAGACGGTCTTCATCAGCTATCACCAATTGGGTAAATCATCCGTTTGACACCAACCACTTGACGGACGAGCGAACAGCTGATGCGTTTAATCCAGACGAGAAGAAGTCGTGCATCTTCCTCCCTAAACGATCCCGTTCCATAGACGTGAGGCGATTAAAGAGGACGTAGTCGCTTCCTGTGTGAAACCCTCGGGTCGGAGAGGACGAGCAGTTCTCTGTTCCAGCAGAGCAACAGAAGGTCAATTTTCGGGCTGTAAAGTGGAAAGAATCCAATATAGGACACTTTAATTCAAGGTCCTATATAGCGAGACATTTTTTTGTTCATTTTGATTATTAAGTTTATTGGGGTCAAGTGTTCACTGTATGTTCAGGGAATAGAAAGTTATAGAAGAAAGACCACGGACTCCATTAAAAATGTCCTTTGGTTATCTGATGGGAGAGCGTTCGGAAGACGGGATGAAGTTTTCATTTTCTGAATCATTTTGAGACGTACAGCAGCGGGAGAAAGAACCCTTCTGGGGAACATTGCGGATCGATCGCAGGATATCGGACTCTTTGTGTCACGAATTCAGGTTCGAATCGGCAAAAGCATTTGTTGGGAACAACTTGTGCAGTTTGTTTGGTTGTTCAAGGTGAAGCCGGAGATCTTTGGTGTGTTTTTTTTCCCCACTAATGATCGGACGCTAAGATGCATTACAATTGGCCAACTTTCCCTAAAAGCCTTTGAGGACGTTTCCTCTTTATTTCACTGCAGCAGTTTGCACAAAGTCTTTAATGATGTTATTTCACAATCGCATTAAGTCTGTAAGCTAATCGGATGCACAAATAAGGCAGTAATAGAATTTAAAGGCTATAAGCGGCGACGCAGAAATCTGCAGTTAATTGCCTGCACACGGGGGATTAGTGATTATCGCCGCAGTGTTTTAGTTCGAGAAAAATGACGATGAAAATAGGAATGAGGTGTGTTTCGTCGCGTCCCCAGAGACGACCAGTGGACAGAGGGCAGCGTTCTTCTGATACGATGACGTCATCTTTAGACTCCTCCCACATGGAATGTGGAAAATTCCTGAATTGTAGAGAGTTTGATCTCCGATTCATCAACGCTCTCATCAGGTCTTAACCCTGCCTGCTAAGCTAATGATGTTCTCACCAGCTGTACTGTTTTGCCATGTTAGCTTAAACATTAACCTGTTAGCACTAGCATGTTAGCATTTAGCTTAAAGGCGCCACCGCACCTTAATACAGACTCTCTTGGTGTGTCAACTATCACAAAAACCAGTCTCTTCTTGGCTCGACCAATCAGACCAACGAGTTGATTCGGACGACCGGAACATTTTTTATGTTTGTTTTTTCTTTTCTTTTTTCAAACTGCTTTTGGCAGCAACAGTAAAACGTGTTCACAGATGTTGCAAGGGGGACTTTTGAATATCGACGCCAGCCTCTCTGCAGACGAAGATGCTCGGCCTTCCTCTTCAGGAGACATCGACAGTGTGAAGAAAGCTGACACCCTTCTACCCACTGTGGGCTCAAAGGGGAAGGATCCCGTGGGGGACGCTCCCTTTTTTTCTCATCTATGTTTCCACAATCGGAACAAAAGTGTGTGTGCATGATACAGCAGTCTTTGTGTGTGTGTGTGTGTGTGTGTGTTCCTCGCTGACCTAGTCTTGGATGGTTGCCACTGTTTGAAGGAAAGATGGATAGCTGCAGGATGAGGGGGGGGCGACGGACCTTTCTAATCTTTGTCTGGTTAGGAAAACAGCGCAGTGAGCAATACGGCTTCATCAGCCCAATGTTAACACTCTCACATACGCACACACACACACACACAGACACACACACTTATGCCTTCTGAGATTTGTTCTCTTGCATTAATTCATTACAGCAACCGTAAAACAAAAAGTGTTTTTCTCGGCGTTCGGGGGTTGGTAGACATGCAGGCAGCCACATTAACGTGTAGAAGAGCCTTCATAGAGAAACTTCATATCATCTCCTTTAATAGAACAGCTAGTCTCTTTGAAAGCATCTATTTTGCATTCACACTGCACGTGTGCACGGGGCGCGTTTGGCCTCCGGCTTGCGTGATGCTACAGTAGGATACGTCTCTTTGCCCCGCGGCAACAGTTGCTAGGGTTACCGACAGGTCAGCTACCGCGGCGATTGAGGACAAATGAGCTGATGCCCCCCCCATCAGCCCCCGGGTCACACTCGCTCACCTTTCTCTCTCTCTCTCTTTACCGCACACGTATGCGGTACATATGTGCACCCAAGCACACGACTAAATCATATTTCACAGCCATTAAAACACACACATGCACACACCCTACGGTACCATGTTCTCACACATATTCATTCCCCCCCGCTGCTGCCTCTTACACATCACTTCCCCCGCGTGAACAAAGATAGGAATGTAATCCAGCCCCTTTTTGTTGGTTCCCGTGAACACATTCACAAGCGCCAGAAACCACGGGTTGGTGTTCGTCCTTCAGTAATTAATGGAAGGGCGTTGTGTACCCGTCGTTTGTGTACCTTTTTTTTTTCCTTTACAGCCTCACTATTTGTGGGCGTTGGGTTCCCTCATTTCACCCGCGTTGAGTGTGTCAACTAACGTTTTGTGTCCTGTTGCTTCTGTTCCCAGGACGACGCAGATGTGGAGGATGACATGACTATTAGAGAGGTAAGACGGACGGACCCCCACGACGCACAGCAAGGGGGGCGGCCCACAAGCCAAAGCTTCATGAGTTAAAGCTGCATTCTCTCTCCTGGCCACCAGAAAGAAAACTCCTCTGGTCCCATAGAAGTCTATGAGAAAACACTGGAGGACGTCACATCCATGACAGAACCTTTTCAGATTTCCTCAATACCCAGACGGGCCTTTTGGGATATGACATCATCCATAATTCATCCATCAACTGCCCCTCTCATTCCCTGTTTTGTCAGCCCCCCCCCCCCCCCTGTTCATCGCTCACACGTCTGTCGTTCTCTGACGGTTCGTTGGCGGGGGGGGCTGACCCGGCTAATAGTGGGCACAGAGACATGTGTTGCTCGCAAAGTCAAAAATAAGGAAGGAAGTTCTGAAAGTCCCTGGTGTGTTTGTGTGGCAGATCACAGAGTGGGAGGAGCAGAAGCTTGACGAACAGGTCAACTTCAGCAACTGCAAGATCGACCCCGCCCCCATCCAGCTGGTGGAGCGCACGTCTCTGCATAAGGTCTGATTGCAAATGCAGATGTTCATCAACCGTGTGTGTGTGTGTGTGTGTGTTTAGGATTACCCTCTCTGATTTTAGAGTGATTCCTGGTACACAAAAATGTTATTATGGGAATAGTTCCATCAGCACTTGATTCATTATTAGTATTTTTTGCTTGCACTACATGATACATACTTACAATACAAAATGTAAAGTTACAAATACACTAAAAACTCCTACGAGCCAACAAACGTGTTTAAACAACTGGACAAGTCTAAAAACCAATTTAATACAAATGAAAAACATAACATTAGGTAATGGGTCAGGTGTTCCGGGGGGGCTATTGTCTCATTACAGACAATCTAAATGTTTATCACTCATATGAATATCTGAACTATTTCATGGTGTGTGTTTTTTTTATTTCAAGGACTGTTTTTGAATATTGGCAGCAGCAGATTGTTCCTAAACCCCCCTCCTTTGTCCCCCTGCAGACACACACCCTCTTCTCCCTGCTGGGCCTCGACCACGCCTACGTAACCAGCATCGGGCGCCTCATCGGGGTGGTGTCCCTCAAGGAGGTAACCATCTCGAGGCCCTTTTTAAAATGTGTGCCACCCCCCCCCAAAAAGAAACCCCGTCTTCCAAGTGCTCGGAGATGAGAACAGCTGAGAGATCTTCTGGTGTTGTTGTTGTTGTTGTGCACATCTCTTCCCTGGATCGAGTTTCTCTCGATAAACCGTTCGACCGTTTGGCGAATCCTCCGCTATGAGAATTGTGAAATCGCTGTGAACGATCATCACGCTCGCAAAGGCGTTAAGACATCGTCCTCCCTCGGTGACTCCCAGAAAGAAGCTGAATTAGTCATGTGCATAAATAAAACGTGAATTATTATAGAAGTAGAGCGTGAGAGAGGAGCTCGGTGTGTCCTAAGAAGTCCCCCCGCAGTCTAAGCCTATAGCAGCTTAACTAAGGGCTGGTCCGGGCTAACCTGAGCCAGCCCTAACTATTGGCGGTATCAAAGAGGAAAGTTTTAGCTGCCTTGTAGGGCAATACGGTGTTACAAGCTCTTCAAGGGAGGACAGTGCCTCACCAGCAAGTGCCTTTTAGGTGAGGAGAAGTACCTTAAATTCTGTTCTTGATTTGACAGGGAGCCAGAGCAGAGAAGTTAATACAGGAGTGATATGATCCCTTTTCTTAGTTCTTGTTAATACACGTGCTGCAGCATTCTGAATCAACTGGAGAGGCTTAAGAGATTCACAAGAGCAGCCTGATAACAAAGAATTACAGTAGTCCAGTCGAGATGTAACAAACGCATCAACAAATTTTTCTGCATCACAGACAGGAGGTTCCTGATATATTACGTAAATGAAAAAAGGAAGTCCTTGACGTCTTCTTTATATGAGAGTTGAAGGACATATCCTGATCGAAGATTATTTACAGTGCTGCTGGATACCAGAACAATTCCATCCATGGAAACTGTATCACGTGACAGCTGACTTCGAAGGCGCTCTGGGCCTATCAAGAGAACTGTTTTTTAGAGTTTAGCATCAGGAAGTTGCAGGTCATCCAAGTTTTGTTGTCTCCAAGACATTCTTGAAGTCTAACAAGCTGGTCGGTCTCTTCTGGTTTGATCGACAGATACAGTTGAGTATCGTCTGCATAACAATGGAAGTTTAGGCGGTGTTTTCTGATAACGTCACCCAAAGGAAGCATATAGAGAGTAAATAAAATCTGTCCAAGCACAGAACCTTGTGGGACTCCGTGATCAACCTTGGTGGTCTTTGAGGATCCACTGTTTACAAGCACAAACTGGGAACAATCCGATAGATACGATTTAAACCAGCAGTTCTTTTAATATTATTTTTATCTATTAATGATGAGTAATAAGATGCTCTTGCGTTACAGAGAGCCTTCTTATACGTTTTAAGGCTGTCTTGCCAAACTAGCTTATATCCTTCTGATTTGGTGGAACGCCATTACCGTTCAAGTTGCCGCACAGTTTGCATTGAGGTCCGGGTTTCGGGGTTATGCCAAGGGACAGACTTCCTTCTTGTTGCCATTCTTCTTTCCAGAGGAGCAATAGCATCCAACGCCATTCCTAAAAAGCCTGTAGCAGCATCGACAAGATGATTGATCTGAGGCAGACTGAGTCCTTTGATATCTTGAGAGAGGACACTGAACTTAGAGAAATATCTTCGATTCCTTTAGATCAGGAGTCATCCTGTCCCCAGATACCTTCTGAAGACAATCTATATACAATAAATATCATAAAAAACAATATATAATAAATGATCAGGCAGTTGGTAAGTTCTCTAATTCTCTGAGCTTTTTGTTCCCCCCCCCCCCACCCGATCAGCTTCGCAAAGCCATCGAGGGCTCCGTGGCGGTGACGGGGACGCAGGTGGTTCGCCCTCTGGCCAGCTTCCGGGACAACGGCACCAGGAGCAACGAGAACGAGGCCACCGAGATCCACGAGCTGTTGGATCACCACAAAAGCATGACGCTGCCCCAAGACCCCGCGCCCTCCGAGTCCAACGAGAAGACCCAGTGAGGGGGGGGGGAGATGAGGTGTTTAATCTCTGTGAAGGGAAAATGTTTGTTATTGTCCAATATACTGTACATTCATGTTATAATCAGGTTTAAAGCAATTGGGTAAGTAGGGATATAACGATGTTAATATATCCCTGTATGATGAGTTACAATTCAACAGAGCGAAGGGAGAAGCTAACGGGAGGAACATAGACAGATGTAGTGAGACGCCAACTAGGCAAGGTTGCAAAGATATGCAAAGACAGGAGTCATCGTGACCCTTTTAGGACAAGATAGTGTAGAGACACCAGCGGGGGGGACAGCGGTCTCGGGTTTGTGTGAGTAGACGCGAGGAGACAGAACGGGAGGGCCAGTTAGTTTAGCATCAACAACCAGATAGAGGGACAAGTGAAGGACAAGGAGAAGAATAGCGGGACGACAACAACAGCAGGAGAGTTACGTAGTTAGGATTGAAGGGGAAGAAATGTATAAACTGTGTTGTGTCATCACCTCGTTAGTGTCTTTCCGGAAAGAGCTCGGTTTATTCGAGTGTTGTTGCTCCAATAAATCTCTGTGAATTGAAGGATCCAGATCTCCAGTGTGCTCTGCGGGTGTGTGTTTTTACTATATTTATACCCTTGGACTGAAACTACCAAAGATGCCGTTTATCTCTTCTCTACATGCAGCTTTTAAATCATCATTGCATGTATTTGTCGTCCTTCTCTGCTTTTTTTGGCCTCGGCTGGATCCGACTGAAAGAAATCGACTGCGACATTTTGAGCTGCATTTTATTGGCAGCAATGAGCTAAAAACACACTTTCTGTAGAGCAAAGAATGAATTGCACAGTTCAGATTTCACATGAACTAAAACTACTACTACTTACTACTTCTGTAGTGTGTGTGTGTATAAAAAGCAGCCCCTCAGTCTGTTTTATGGTGAATGAGGTTAGAAACAACCATCCGTCCTTCTGATGAGTATTAAATAAAGGTGCCACAAGAATTCGTCCTTCCTCGGAGGCTGGTGGGTGTAATCTGTACGAGGGGCCGAGTTCTCTGGAGACTTCAGCGATGACTCATCGCACCGGGAAACATCAAAGTACACACATGTAACGGACAAACCGTGGGATTATTCATCATGGTTTAAACACTCACTGATCCTTTGCTCTAGCAAATGAAGATTAAGTCGATTTGACTTGTTTTACTTTTGGTACTGAGGTAACATTTGGGCCCTTGCAGGAACATGTAGCTTCAGTTAAGATGACACTAAAAACGTAGAAACACAAAAGGCTAGCAACCTAGCCCCATGCTGATGTTCGTAGAAGTCTTTGTGCGTAAACGTCTTTAGGGACAGCAAACATTGATCTGGTAAAAATATGAACTCTATTTAAGTGATTTAATCTCCAGTGAGGTTCGGCTTCCTCTGGCTACCTGGTCTAGGAGGGGCAGGCAAACAATAGAAATAGTGTGTTTTTCAGGTGTGTTTCCTGTGATGCTCGTGAGTGGTGACAGGCAAGAGGTTTCACTCCAATTACCTTGACTTTTATCATTGTTTTATTAATCTCCGACGGATCGGGACGAGTCTGCGAAGAGAAACACCCACAGTCGTGCATAGACGGCGACTTGCCCTTAAAAGTACTTACTTACTATACAAGATGAATATGTAAGATGCTAAACTGCGCTTATCCAGAGGGTTTCAATGCCGAGTAACGAAGGGAACACCAGACCCCTTGTGTCGGACAAAAGGTCAGAGGTCACCAAATCCAGGAACCGAGATAATGGTTGGCCAGTAGCTGAAAGGCGCCGCCAGGCCACAAGTCAGAGGCGGGCCTCGCTGCGGTAGGCGGGGCCACGCGCGGGCTCCGGTGCGGGGGTCCGGCGGACGGTCACCACCAGGGTGCCGTCGGGGTCGAGGGTCCCGCCCACCGACAACGGGTCCATGTCCTCCGGGAACAGGGACTTGTGGGTGAACGTGTCGCTGACGCTTCCGTCGTCCAGAACCTGAGGACGAAAGGTCAAAAGGTCAAAGAGAGACGCAGGCCGAACAGTTGATGGAGTTTTCTTTTAATGCTGCAGATCGATCCAACACGTAAAGAGACTCGGTCGACAGGAAGTCCTCTCTGACCTCTGATTCACTCCCGCAGTAGTGTGTGTGTGTGTGTGTGTGTGTGTCGTCCCATATGCTCAGCTGTACAACAACAACAACAACAACAACAAGTACACACACCTTCTGTGCGTGGATGACCACGTGGTGGTTGAAGGCCATCAGCACCACGTCGTGCGGCTCAAACTGGCTGACGTCGGCTGACATGTAGTAAGTGTCCCCCAGGCATCGAACGCCGGCGCCCGTGCCGCTCTGCCGGCCCGCCACAGCGCCGCCTACAGGAGCTTCAGAGGGACAACAGAGGAGTTTTCTACTTGTCCAGCGAGAAGAGTAGTTAAATGTATGAATGTAAGAAATATTAATTATATTGATATTGTATATATTATGACTATATTCTGTTAATATATTTTCATTCATATGTTTCTGTGAAAAATATTAAGGCAAAATTCTGGTATTGTAATAAAATTGATGGTTTTTGAAAATCTGTTTTTTGATTACATTTTTATATCAAAATGTATTCTCATTTCATAACTCGTTTTTCATACCTCTTTGTTGAACAGTGAGCGCCAGAGCTTAACATTTTTTAGAGGGCTGTCAACATAAACGTGTTAATCTATGCGATTAATGTGGACGAGATTAATCGAACAAAATATTTTAACCTACGTTTGTTTACGGCCGCTAGCTGCAGTCAGTTAGAGAGCGAGCGCGTAAAACAAAGGCGCAACATACAGCACAGAACAGAAGGGGGGAGAGTGCCGAGCTAGCTGCTAGGCAAAGGTAGCTGCTATGCTAAGCTAGCTGCTAGGCTACTTCCATCTCAACATCTAAGTTACCTTGCGTGGTACAAGGTCTGCAGAGGACCACCACTGTGTCCCTAAAAGACCGCGGTTTGAGAACGTCCTGCTAAATGTGGGGAGATTGTTGACACTTCAAACACAGCCGTTAAATGACGGAGAGTTGAGAGCAAAGTGCACGAGGACAACAGGAAGAATCGCTAGTTCAACATGTTCCACCAGGCGGAATTCTGCCTCCAAGATAATCAAATGTGTGTCATTTTGTGTTTAAAATAACATTAACAATTAAACAACAGTGTCTAAAATACATGTTTTCTAAGGTGATTACTCATTACTCGTAAGATTTAGTCTCCGGAAGAAAAACAAACATTCATTAACAACATTAATTGCCATTAATGAATTTCAAAATGTGGGATTCGTTCGTTAATTTTTTTGTTTTTTCTGTCGACAGCCCTTAATTTTTTATAAATAAAAGACATTTTGTAATAAATATTGAATATACATGTTGGTGGCGTGTAGGTAGCATGTGCAGCCTTGCTGAGATAAAATCGATCTAGCAGGTAGGAATACATGTTGACACTAAGTTTAAAATGTTTCATAGTTCTTCATCTATGGAAATTATGTAAATTATACTTATACATAAATGTGCAATATTAAGGCTTTCATCCAATCACTTCTTCTGTAAAAGGATTTTTTTGGTTTATATTCTTTTTGCTGCATACTGTAGATAATTAAGCGATAACTGTTATTAGTACTTTCACTTTCTCCCAACATAAACAATACCAAAAACAACATCAATTTATCTAACAATTATTTTAAA